TTCCCCCTGCTTGTACTCTCTTGCTCTCTCTGTCAAATAAGTAAAATCTTAAAAAAAAAAAAAATGCTGAATGGGGGCGCCTGGGTGGCTCAGTCGTTAAGCATCTGCCTTCGGCTCAGGTCATGATCCCAGGGTCCTGGGATCAAGCCCTGCGTCGGGTTCCCTGCTCAGCGGGAAGCCTGCTTCTCCCTCTCCCACTCGCCCTGCTTGTGTTCCCTCTCTCGCTCTGTCTCTCTCTCTGTCAAATAAATAAATAAAATCTTTTTAAAAAAAATAATGGCACAAAACATTTATGTAGGATTGATCCATTTTTAAAAAGTAACATATCCTATATACTCCCAAAGTAACATATACTATATATACTATATACTCCCAAGCTGGAGCAATAATGCTTGGGAGTATGGTACAGAAGCCCTTCATAGATAATATTAATTTTAAAGATAATACTCATTTTAATACTCCGATATGAGGTACAAGGCAGATTCCATTAGACTACTTCCTACTCTGTTGTGAGTGTGTCTGTGTGTATTCATTCATGTAGACTTGAGTCTTCCCACTAATTTCAGAGAACGATTTAGAACTTTTCACTGCTGACTTGAGTTAGTAGTCTAAGTTCCCTACCCAATGGGGTTTGATTTTCTGACCAGTTAAGTGATCAAAGTCAAATCCTCAAAGCCTGAATGTCTTACATGGATTCTAATAAGTTCTAAGTTGGCCATTCTTCATAGTTTTAATCAAAGCAAAGGATGACATTTGCATTTTTGTCATCTTCATTTCAAAGTGTTTGTCGTATTATTAGATTCAGAATCACCCTGAATGGTTACACATCAGTAGACCCTGCCTAGCCATTCCGGAAAAGCTGTCCCTGCCAGAACAGGGGCCCGTTTCTACCTAAGTAGAATATCACCTAAATACATAAACATTGGATTCATGTATGTCCAGATTACTTAGAATCAGAAGTCATCGTGGCAGGAAATTTTGGGTAAACGAGTTGTCCGACAGAGTCATCAACCCATGATAGCTTCCTCTCACTCTCTTGATTTCTGTCCCCTTGATGTACCCTGGGTTCCCCTATTGCCTTCTTTACATCTCCCAATAACATTTACACTCAACACAGCCAACAGCACCTTTTACACCAGTTCTGCCTCACGTTCTGCTTTTGTTCTGTTTGTGGGGTATTCTTCCATTTCTTCAATTAGCTTTATTAACCAGGAGACATGGATGAGTAGGAACAGGGAATACAAACATATTTTCTTTTTCTCTCTCCTGCCCCACCGTGTGTGTGTGTGTGTGTGTGTGCCATATACCTACAAAACCAACAGACTTTTGTATAGCTATCCAGCCATGCTGACCTTCACATTGAGAGTGTACTGCTGATCTTTGAGTGACCTAATCGTCATGCACTGCATGGTGGGACCCTGGAGTCGCCGCACATTTGCTGTGGATAATGCACTATTTGGCAATTAAACGTTAGAGTTAGAGCATTCTTATTTATTTATTTTTTTTAAAGATTTAGATTTATTTATTTGACAGAGACAACCGAGGGAGGGAACACGAGCAGGGGGAGTGGGAGAGGGAGAAGCAGGCTTCTTCATGACTGAGCCACCCAGGCGCCCCTAGAGCATTCTTATTTTTAATAACTTTTTTGTCATATAAATGGTGAGACTTTGGTCTAGTAAGTCAATTGTATGATTCCTAAGTATGTAAAAGTTCAGGAAGTCTTTGCAAGTATATTCTCTCCTAATTATTTAAAAATTAGAAACTGAAAAAATTTGGGGGGATATATGCCAAAGAGTATTTGATCTGAAACAAATAAAGTCCATATGCTTAAAGCACTATATATAGTCAAGATGAAATTTCCATATTTGCTATGGATCTGTTCTCCTTTTCTTAAGGGAGTTCTATCCGAATGTTTTATTATTGTTGGCAAGATCCAGATCCTGGATCTGCCCTCAGTGCTTTGTTTTGTTCGGTCTTGGATTTTGGAGCAAAATAATAACCATTTATTAATTTGCCAAAAATTCAGCATTGCCACTAGTGTTATTTCTTGACAATTGCACAATCATCTTGGCTGTCATGAAAATTACTTTGCTTGAAATAAGTATATAAAGGGGCGCCTGGGTGGCGCAGTTGTTAAGCGTCTGCCTTTGGCTCGGGTCATGATCCTGGGGTCCTGGGATTGAGCCCCGCCTCGGGCTTTCTGCTCAGCGGGAAGCCTGCTTCTCCCTCTCCCACTCCCCTTGCTTGTGTTCCCTCTCTTGCTCTGCCAAATAAATAAATAAAATCTTTAAAAAATACCAGTATATAAAAATTTGTGTAGACACACATACACAACAGACATGTACTACATATATATCTATTCAAGCTAAAAGATGGCTTATGGCAAAATGTGAAATCCGATTGTTTTTACACTTTGAGAAAAAAATAGTAAGACAAGAACATGTGTTTTAATTTGTTTTCCATTGTCAAGAGCTGGAGAATGGGGGATATTGGGAGTGATGGATAATTTACCCTTACCCTCAAATAATCAAATATATGGGTCTTAGGAGTGTTATAATCACTGTGTATGTATATTTGCATAGGAATATAACACATATAACACTGAGGGAATTTGGGAGGGAATGTTTAAAATGTCTTCCAACAGATTATCAACTAGTTCAATAGAGAAATACTGTGGGGAGGCATTTATATCTTCTTAGAGCACAAAGTATAAAATGACTGTAGAATTTCCTGTTTTAACCAAGAATGAAGGAGGGCTACGAGCCATTTGCTTCCTGAGTGGACACATTCCAGCTGTGCAGATTGGTCATAGCACATCTGCCAATCAGAACAGGCCCTGGAGGGAAGCCCTCAGATGCTGAGTCTTGTTTACACGCATTGTGACTCTGTTTCTCCCCTCCTCCTGTGTGTTGTACCACTGGGGAGATTTGTGGGGGAATTTGCTGTTACATGCCTAAATAAACTCTACGAAACTAGGATCACAGCCACATCAAATGGTATCCTGGGCAGATTTTTAGCTCATCTTTAGCCACAGGTAAGAGTTGTTGATTTGCTATACGAGCATAGCTGATCTGAATCCAGTTTCCAGCTTTGCTTTGAGATATTTTCCTTTTGTTAGCAAAACTAGCAGCCTAAAGCTGAAGAGGAACGATTGAAAAAAATGAGTAAAATGTGCGCTGTCTTGCTATGACTTTAAATTTTTCGTGCTCCGTAAGTGAAAAACCATGATGTTTTTATATGAGAGAATGTGAAACGAAGTTAAATTAAAACAAAAGTTTTAAAAGTGGCAGTAATGGGCGCCTGGGTGGCTTAGTCGTTAAGTGTCTGCCTTCGGCTCAGGTCATGATCCCAGGGTCCTGGGATCAAGCCCCGAATCAGGCTTCCTGCTCCTTGGGAAGCCTGCTTCTCCCTCTCCCACTCCCCCTGCTTGTGTTCCCTCTCTCGCTCTGTCTCTCTGTGTCAAATAAATAAATACAATCTTTAAAAAAAAACAAAGTGCCAGTAACACTAGATCACTGTGTAGAGAAGCTGGAACCAGAAGCATATTAACACTGTGCACTTTGGAGAGCAGTATGTCTAAACAAACATGTTTTATTGTGAATTTTCCTACTTGTTAGTCTTTAAGAAAGCATACTTCCTGTGTACTAACTCCTTGGTTTCAAAAAACATTTTTTTTTTCATTATGAACCTATTCAGAAAAATTGATAAATATATATAACTGTGTAAATCCTGTGCCTTTTCTTCCATAATTCTCCCCGGAAGTTTTATAGTATGTTTTTAGTATCTTTATGCTGTTCCACAAGCAATAAAATCAAGGGGAAAAAAAGAATTCCTGTTTGATCTTTGTTTTGCCATTAAGTTCTATATTGTTAGTATTAATTCAGAAGATACTTTAGAAAACTATATTTTAATAACATTGCATAGGATTTTTTAAAAAGTCATTGCATAGGATTTTATTGTGGCTTACACGTTGCTTTCTGTTGTTAGTTTTTCCATAACACTGAGACCTTTTCACTTTGTTTATTCTTAAGCATGTACTGAAAAAAATTATTTGGGAGTCAAAAAAAAAAAAAAAAGACAACCTGTGGATTTTGTAGTTCTTTCTTTCGTATATAATAGTCTTCAGGTTGATTAACAGCTTTCTACAGCAGCCTCCAAAGAGGCACATGTGAAAACTTCGAGCAGCCATGCCCTTGTCGCTTACCCTGTGGCCAAGTTTCTCAGCGTCAGCAGTATTGACGTTTTGGGTGACATAAGTCTTTGTTGTAGGCTGCATGGTGGGACATTTAACAGCATCATTGGCCTCTCTACCTACTGGATACCCGTAGCTCCTTCTTCCCCACTTGTGACAACCACAGATGTCTCCAGGCATTGTCAAGTGTCCCCTGGGGAAGGGGGCACTCCTGGTCAAGAACCACTGCCTTCTATGTAATAATAGCACATTAGACCTAAATATCAGCGAAACGTTGAAATCCAACTTCTGAGAAGTTCTGGGCAATAGAGAGTTAAGGATGAGGCTGTCCGGGTCTTAGGGTGTTTGCAGATGTTGCTGTAGCTGACTGCTCATTTTTTCCCCCTCCCTATCCTGTTGGAAGCTTTTGCCAACCATGATTCATGGAATGATTTTTTTAAGCTGAGTAATCTGTGGCTTTTCAGTTTCCTTACTTTCTTTCCTCAGCTAAATTTGTTTGGGTTTTAGCAAAGTGTTTGAAACAGCAAAGATCTTTGAAAATGAAATAATATGTATAATGATATACTCTCCAAGTAGGTAATTTTAACAAACCGTAAAAACTCTCCGTGCCTGTCTATCTTTGTATCCTGTGTACATCTTCTGTCAGACAAATCCTTTCCACTCTGATGAAGAGCCTCGTACAGGGGAAGGCACAGCAACCTTAAACAGTCCTTTGTGAAATCTATGGTATGGCAGCGGGTATTTAAGAACTTCTTTCCCAGGGCTTCTGAAGAGTATTTTGACATGTAACTGTTTTCTTTCTTTATAGATCGCAACGAACGAAATAAACCAGAGCATCGTTCTTCAAGGTATGAGTTTATGGTTTTTAATAATTCTGTATAACACTTCTCATTTGGAAAATATTTGGAGGCAGTGCAAGTATCCCTTATAGAGTTGCTATATATTTGAATCTTCTGTGGCATTCAGAAAAGCTTCACAAGGGAAATATTGTTCATTTTTGGGAGAAAAATTCTTTGTGAAATTATTGACTACCTGAAAGACATATTTTTCTTGAGAATTCCTATCAGTGACAGCTAAATCTTTATAAAAAAAAAATTTTCCCTATTTCCTTCCTTTGGTGATTTATTTTCCTCCCCTTTCTTTGACCAGTATTTTTATAAATGTGTTATTTCTTTTTTCCTAATTAGAAAACTAACATGGGCTCACTATAGAAATATTTTCAATATATTTTTTTTTTAATATAAAGCATTAAAAACCGAAACAAAACAGCCTGTCTTCCATTAGCTAGAGATGGCTGGTTACTGCTAAAAGTTTGGTGTAATTCTTCTAGTTTTTCTCAGTATATATGTATTCCAGTCAAATTCTTTAAGTTCTTGTTAGATAGATTCAAAGGCCAGGAAGGCTGTCTCACTTAAGCCCCTCGCTCACATTGTCTGAGCATGTATTTCACAAGACCTTCACCAGCACTGAAGAGTATTTTTTAAAATCCTTGTCAAACTTACAGGTGGAAAATGATCTAACTTCTATTCCTATGCAAGAATGATAAGCCTGTGTTCGATTTTTTTTTTTTAGCCTAGTTCTGTGAAGGATTATAATTCCTTTAATATTATTTTCACATTATTTCACAGTCCATCACTTTCACTTTACATTTTGTGTTGTGGGAACTGATAACGTGGTAGTAATGCATTCACTCGGTTGACCGGCCTGGTAAACCAAACCCTGATGGTTTTTCAAGGTATCAAACCCAGAATACATTGACCTCGCATGAAAAAAAAAACAAAGACTATGAAAACTCCAGTAGTTGATCCTCCATTTTGCAGAGATTGTCAATCAAAATAAGTCAGTAAGGCCTAATCTGGGAGAAAAGTACAGTGGAATATTTGGAATGTAAGTCTGATTTTTTTTTTTTTCCAGGTATAATTCACAGACATTAAAACTCACTCTTCTTGGTATATGTTTCTGTGAGTGTTGACGAATACATACAGTTATGTAACCACCACCACAGTCATAGAAAAGTCTGTAAGACTGATTTTTTTAATACTTAAAAATAATAATAGAAAAAAGGCAGTGTAAGAGAGAAGACTTTAACTGTGAATGGCATAAAGTTGGAATGGTAAAGAAAAAAACACTTTGTATGATAAAATCAGGACAATAAGACCCTGAAGGTTTGATGAATCAAGCAGTATAAGTTTAAATTCGAACAAACAGAAATCCTTACACTTAGGTCTGAAAGACCGATGGAACATAAGGAGATAAGGGAGTTGTAACTTAACAGTATGTTTGAAAAAGTCTTGAGGATTTAGTTCTTCGTAAATTTGTCATAAGTCAGAAATTGTATGTCATTGCCTCCACCTCCCCAAAGAATGTCAGCATCAGTTTACTTATACTAAAAGAAATAGAATGTCCAATAAAAGAAAAGTAATAGCTCTAGACCATACTTTTTGATATTGCATCCAATTTTGGATCCACAAGGCCTTGAAAAATTGAAGTGGACTGGCTATATTGATACCACTTGAGTAACTTAACAAAACCAAAAACGGAGTCCCATGCTCCACCCCGGAGAATCAGTATAGTAAAGAAGTCCCTCAGTGGTTCTGTTGTATAGCCAGGTTGGGAACCGCTGGGATAGAGGACGGCAACTGAGTTAAGACGGGGAATATGAAAGAGAAGAGTAGGATGGAAATCAGAGTTAAGTCGCAGGAAGACTTGTAGAAGGAGTTCGGTGAATTTAGCCTTGGTGTGGAAGTTTGGGGAGGTATATGGGAGAGAAGTAACTGGCTTTGAGCACTTGTTCCTCCCAAAGGCTAACCTTCACCACCAGAAACAAGGGATCCTTGGAGGAATGGCTAGTTCCCGGTCTGGGGAGGGGAGAGTCAGGTGAGCCTGGACTCATGGTGTGACAGAAAGAAGGGAAATGCTCAACTAATGGGTCATATCAAAAAGGCCTAGGATGCAGTTTCAAGAACCTCCTGCTGGCCAAATCTGGGACAATTTGAGTATCAAAAAATTTTTTTAATGATAATGATTTCTAACACATTGGATTTTTAAAAATCCATGCAGAAGAGCTCATAGAATTAGAAAATCATCATTTTATAATTCTTAGTATCATAGTTGATTCAGGCAAGGATCATCAAGTGGCTACTAAAAGTTGGGCAGAAAGTTTTTGGAGGGACAAATATTCACACTGCCTTAAAATTGTTTTTAATTACAAAGGGGGAAATGTAACTCTTCAGTGAATAGATCTGGTGATCTCATTCTTAATCAGGTGGTCAAGTTATATATCATCAGTAGTGAGACATCCTGACAGTATGTGCCTCCATATAATCCATTAGCAATACACATAGATATCACAGATAATGTAATAAAAATACAAAAAGGCTTGAAGAAAAATTCTAGATTGAAAGAGACTGAATTTTTCTTTGGAATTTTAAAACCCAGATTTTGAAAAAAAAGCACTTTGGGGATAATTAAGAAAATTTAAATATGAGTTTTATTTTATTTTATTTTATTTTAAGATTTTCTTTATTTATTCATGAGAGACAGAGGGAGAGAGAGAGAGGGAGAGAGAGAGAGAGAAGCAGAGGGAGAAGCAGGCTCCCAAGGAGCAGGGAGCCTGATGCGGGACTCGATCCCAGGACCCTGGGATCATGACCTGAGCCGAAGGCAGACGCTTAACCATCTGAGCCACCCAGGCGCCCCATGAGTTTTATTTTAGATAATATTTTATTAATAAAACTTTTCTTAGGTATATAAGAGAAATGCTGTTATGTGGGAGAACGTTCTTATTCTTAAGAGATACCCACAAAAGCAATAGAGGTGATGTAGTCTTAGGTTTGCAAAATAACTCTTAAATGATTCATGAGAAAAAAAAAAAAAGCAAGAGGTAAAACTGCAAATACGGGAAAATATTAAGAATTGGTGAATAGGGCGCCTGGGTGGCTCAGATGGTTAAGCATCTGCCTTCAGCTCAGGTCATGATCCCAGGGTCCTGGGATCGAGTCCCGCATCGGGGTCCCTGCTCCTTGGGAACCTGCTTCTCCCTCTGCTTCTCTCTCTCTCTCTCTCTCTCTCCCTGTCTCTCATGAATAAATAAATAAAATCTTTAAAAAAAAAAAAAGAATTGGTGAATAGATGAAAAGCATATGGGTGTTTAATTGTGCTGCTCCCTCAACTTTTCTGTAGACTTGAAATTTACAAAATAAAAAGTAGCAGTGGAAGCAACTGTTTTGTGTTCCATCGAGTCCCAGAGGGCAGAGTGTGCGTCCGTGGGTGGAAGTTGAGGGGGTTGTGTTTCTGTACCATGTGAGGAAGGATTGCCTAACATAGCTGGTCAGAGATGGAACGGGTCACTCTGGAAGGGAACGTTGCCAAGGAAAAGCTAGATAAGCTAGTGCTGGGAATTTAAAAAGATTCACACATTGCTTAATTACTGTTCTAGATGGTTCCAGCCCCTTGCTCACTCAGTAGCCAATAGGTGTTTGTTGAGAGGCCCTAATCTGGGCTCAGGGCACCATAGAGAATAAGACACAGTCTCCATCGGGATGGAGCGTCAAGCGCCCGTTGTCTGGGCTTCACATCCCCAATCTCAGAGAGCCTGTTTACTCTAAAGTCAGGCTCCCGGTCTTCATTGTTGTACTTCGGGCAGTGCTTGTGGTACTCTTGAGGTTATTCGGGAAGTATTTTATCTTTGACGTCTAATTTATACTGTCCGATTCTCAAGGACTGTGCTGCTAGTCTTGGTAACCTTAGCACTTGGTATAGTGCCTGGTCCATGATAAGCACTTAATAAATAAATGTTTGTTGGATAAATGCCAGTTATAGCTCAAAGAGAGAGAGAGAATGCCAGTGTTCCTCCTTTGCAAATTGGGAGGAATCTGCCTCTCAGAAAGCTCACCCATAGCTGTTACTGACTAGGTCTGTTACAAGTACAGCCAAGAGTAATGCCCTAATAAGAAAGAAGAAATGTTTTTGCAGGAAAGGCCATTGTGTTTTGTGCAGGGTGTCTGCTGAGATTGGCAGTGCCCTGTTGTCCCGGTGCCATTCTGAGCCAAGCAGGACTGCCTCCCCAGGCCTGTGGTGCGTCAGGCGGAGGAGTACCTGCTGCACCAACAGAGCACAAAGAAGAGAGTATAAACAGAAGTCACGTAAGTTTGGTATTTTTGTCGGTTCTCCTCAGGCCACTCACTCGGCAGCAAGAATGATGGGGGCTCAACGCCCAGCAAGGATGAGAGAGATGCATTTCTTTTGTTTGTATTTTTATAAGGCCAAACACTCCTGTAGCTTTCCCAGTGGGAAGTGAATAAATCGGGGATGTCTGCCTTTCGTTTCGGTGCTGAAAGAAGGAAAGCATAACTCTTGTCAAGTTAAAGGAAGAGTTCTACCAGGTATAGGTCAACACTAGGACCTCAAGCTAAAAAATACTGCTTAAGCGTCTGTAAGAGATTTGCTGGGTGCTTTTTGATTAGTTTGTTTTGATGTTGGCATTTAAAAAATTTGCTTATTGCTGATTGAGCTCTTTTGAAGTCAGAAATATCTGAATCCTTCTTGTCTTTCCCTTGTTAGTTCAAATATGCCCTTTACCAAATTGATGTCCCATGGAACATTCTCATGTAGGAGGTTAATCAGTATGCAAGAAATAAATATGCACAAAAAAGCCTGTGAAATGGTGAGTTAAAACAAAATTAGACATATTTCTTTGCTGGGATTCCACTAAGAGTCTTTGATACACTAAAGTGCATTATAAAACTCCAAGTGAGAGATTTACTATACAGGATTTTAAGAATTTGTTTGAAATTGTAACTTACTTTCCCAGACACAGCTATTAATAACATCTAGAAAAATGTGCTGT